TTTCCCGCACTCTAAATCCTTAATGACATTTACATTATTAATTAATTAAGTTAATTTCTGCGACTTTCTCTCGCAACTTCGACATGTCGCACGACCACGTGTTCGCGCAAGTCCTTCTTCGAGGGCAACTTTCACCCTTAAATTGCACTATTTTCACTCGCGATATATAAAAATAATCGTATTTAAGCCGCGCACATATTTACTTTATTCCGCGATCGGCCCGAACACTCGTTTCCTCGCTTTCGATTCGTGACAGATGTAACCTAACCTAACCTAACCGTGACAGCGTTACGCGTGACACCGTTACGTTATGATTTTATACTGTAGAGGGTATGATAGAATACAATATAACCGTGACAGCCTTACGCGTTACGTGTGACACCGTTACGTTATGATTTTATATCATAGAGTATGATGATGTATTAGACGTTTGTAAATATCAAAAATGGTTTCCTAAGTTTAAATCCAGTAATTTCAACCTTTCCAATTCGTACCGATCGGGAAGACTAACAATTTTAGACAATAACATGTTAAGGACGAAAGTTGGAGCAAATCCATGTCAGACGATGGAGAAACTATCACACACACCTTTTTTTTTTTTAACGTGGGAGAAATCTTCCAGAGATGCCCCATACCCTTAGAGGGGGCGCGAGGTTATGTGGGATTCTTACCCACTAAAATCCCACGGTGGTCCTCGAATGACGCATGTGGGCCCCCGGGAACTCTGTGGAACATAATCGGGACCCCCGCGCCTTGCTCTTTCGAGCCCTTCCCGGGGGGAAATCATAAGACCTCCCTCCGACAAAACAAACTAATCTTTACGGCGATGCCCGGACCACCGAGACAACCGCCCCCTCCCCCCCGGGGCAGCGTACAGGGCGTCCTGGGCCCCCACCCATGACGCCACCACCCCCCAATAGGTCAGAGACCTGGAAGAGACCGATGGCCCTCGGCATTACACTGGTCAGTGACCTGAAAAAGACCAACGGCCCTCGGCATTACACCGACGGATCGTCGGCCTGCAATCCTCAAATGGAGGAGTCAAGCCGGGGCCCACGACGGCCCCGACTGCTCCTCCGAACAACTGCAGTTGAACTGCTGGAAGCAGCCGCATCTCGACGGCTGCGACCTCTTCCCCTCCTCTGCGGGTCCGCTTCTTCGCGAACCCGCTCCGCGGCCTCCTTCTGCAGCATCACTTGCTCGCAGAAGGAGGCCACAGCCTTCCAGGACCTCTCGCTTGCCAGCGATGCCCCAACTAACGCTGGCAGCGAGAGGTCGTAACCAACATCCTGAATAAGGACACGGCGCAGCGCTGAAAAGGCGGATCACACCTTCAGTGTATGCTGCGCCGTGTCCGAAACCTCCCCACAATGGTGGCAGCGCCACAATGGTGGCAGGCCGCCGTCGCCTCCTTCCCTATACGACACAGGTACTCACCGAAGCAGCCGTGCCCGGTGAGCACCTGCGTCATACGGTAGGTGATCCTACCATGCCGCCGCTCCCGCCACTGATCAAATAGTGGCAGGAGGGCCCCGATGACTGGCTTGTCGGAATAGGCGCGTAAATCCATTTTCCAACGCGAAACAGCCAGACGTCGGGCCTGACGCCTGATCTCATCGATCGCCTCCGGCTCCGGCGGGACACCGTCGAGACACTGCAGGGCGCGGATGCGCGTATAAACGAGCGCATCAGCCCCCGCCAGGTACTCGAACGGTATAAGGCCTGCC